TGACGAAACCCCATCTCTACTAAAAATACAAATATTAGCTGGGCGCAGTAGTGGGCACCTGTAATCCCAGCTATTCGGGAGGCTGAGGCAGGAGAATCGCTTGATCCCGGGAAGCAGAGGTTGCAGTGAGCGGAGACCATGCCATTGCACTCCAGCCTGGGTGACAGAGCGAGACTCCATCTCAAAAAAAAAAAAAAAGGGAAAGTAGAATGGTGTTTGCCATTTGCCAGGGGCTGCGGGGAGAGAAGATGGGGAATTATTGTTCAATGGGTGTGTGGAGTTTCAGTTTGTGAAACTGAAAAAGTTCTGGAGGTGGACGGTGGTGATGGTTACAAAACAATGTGAATATATGTCATATCATTGAACTACACACACTTATAAATGGTTAAATGGTAAATGTTATGTGTATGTTATTTCAGTGAAGATAATAGGGGTAAAGTGTTGAAAGAATGCACATTAGTAAAGGCATCACAGTCATGGGATGACCTTCAGTACAGTGGAAGCCTGGTTCCTTACAGGACCATACTAGTACGTGGCTCAGGGGTTGGGGATCCCTGTCCAAGACTACTCTATTTGCTGTGGCTCTGCCTTCCAGTCATTTTCTATCCCATTATTGTGTTTTACTTTCTTCATAGCCCTTGCTAGTTCCTCTGCCATGAATGCTCTTCCCCCAAATGGAAGGCACTGCAAAAATTGATAGATTCTGGCATTATTGGAGTAGCAGCAGTAGAAACATAAAGAGATATTTGTTTGGGTATGGCGTAATTAAAATGAGCAGGGGAAGGGGGGCAGGAAAAAAAAAAAAACTTAGATGCTGTCCTTGGTCCTGAACCAACAGTACCTGGTGAATGGCTATCTTACATATTCTAAGAATCTGGTAACTTATGTTCTAGGGCTTAGACTTTCATTTTTCCCTTTTTACGAAAAAAAAAAAAAAAATGCCGTAGCTTTTAGTGTCTCCAAAAAATGTCAAATCATGGTAATAATTTACAATTTACCTAGCCAATTCCTTTTATTTTGACAGTTGTAATAGGTTTCTACTTACTTTTCCCACTAGAAAGAAAAGAGGGTACATTCCCCCATTCCCTCTCCATCTCAATCCTAAGATTATGCATTTGAAGGTCAGTTTATGTGAAGCATCACTCAGACCTTCCAAGTGACTATGATGAGAGAGATGAGGGCAAGATGGAATTGATGATGGCTAGCAGGTATTGGCTAAGATGTTACTCCTCAAAGAGGCTTCCTAGAGTCTCCAACCTTTTAGCACCAGGGATCAGTTTCATGGAAGACGATTTTTCCATAGACAGGGGAATGGAGGTGAGGGATGGTTTCAGGATAAAACTGTTCCAGCTCCGATCATCAGGCATTAGATTCTCATAAGGAGCACACAACCTAGATCCCTGCATGTGCATTTCACAATAGGGTTCCTGCTTCTGTGAGAATCTAACACCTCTGCTGATCTGACAGGAGGCAGAGCTCAGGCCGTAATGCTGGCTTCCTCGCCTGCTGCTCACCTCCTGCTATCCAGCCTCGTTCCTAACAGGCCACAGACCAGTACCGGGTACATGGCCGAGGGGTTGGGGATCCCTGTTCTAGACCACTCTATTTGCTGTGGCTCTGCCTTCCAGTCATTTTCTATCCCATTACTGTGTTATACTTTTTTTCACAGCCCTTGCTAGTTCCTCTGCCATAAATACTCTTTTCCCAAATCTTTTCAAGACTCACTTCTTTCACTTCACTTAGTTCTTACCACATTTTCAAAATAAGCCCTTCCTTTCGTTCTCTATATCATTAAACTTTCATTTTTCTTCAAACACATATTCCTCCCAGCTAAAAAAGGGCAAAATATTTGATAGACATTTCACCAAAAAGGTATATAAATAGCCAATAAGCACATGAAAAGATGCCCAACATCATTAGGCAATAGGGGAAATATAAATCAACATCACAAAACCTACTTCACACTCACTGTAATAGCTATAATCAAATAGCCAGATAATAGCAAGTGTTGGTGAGGATGTAAAGGAATGGAAACTCTCATAAGTTGCTGGTGGGAATGTAAAATTGTACAACTGCTTTATATCTAGGAATGGAATTGCTGAGCCCTATGGTAATTCTTTTGACTTCATGAATTTGGGAGTTCCTTTAAAAGTTAAATATAGGATTACCCTATCAGTCAACAATTCCACTCCTAGGTAGGTACCCGTGATAATTGAATACATATGTCCACATAAAAATGCAGACACAAATGTTCATAGCAGCATTACTCACAATAGCCAAAAGGGGAAACAATCCAAATGTCTATCAACTGATTAATGGGTAAATAAAATGTGCTGCATCCATACACATTTATATGCCTGGCAAATAAAAGGAATGAAGTACTGATTCATGCTACAGTGTGGATGAAACTTGAAAACACTGTGCTAAGTAAAGAAGTCAGACACAATGTATGATTCCATCCATATAAAATGTTCAGAATAGCCAAATACATAGCAACAGAATATGGATTGTTTGCCAGGGACTGGCTTCTTGTTGGGGTGATGAAATATTCTGGAATTAGATAGTGGTGACAGTTCTGCAACTTGATAAATGTACTAATAAACCACTGATTTTTATACTTAAAAAGATATTTTTTCTTTAAAAAAGCAAGCATGAACAACCACTTATCTCTCCCTGAAATATACATTCTCTATGAGTAATCCCCATGAGAACGAGGGCAAAACCTGCAGAGGGAGTATGTCAGAACCACCTGTGGGACCATCACCAGGATATAAACTCCGTGAGGGCGGAGACATTCTCTTGGTAATCCACCATATGTCAGAACAATGACTGGCACATAGTAGGCACCCAATAAAATGTTGTGACTTAATGAGGGACTAAAAGAGGAAGAGATAATATCTGTGTGAAACAATTAGAGAATTTTTTAAAATCTTAAAAGTCTTCACTGTGTATTACAATAGAGTTGTGATTTTAGTAGAAAGAAACCAGATTCTTTTAAAGATTGGTTCTTCTATCTAAAAAGAAAATTCCAAATCTCAACAATTTCTAACATAATATATGAATATATTTTAAACTTGGCCACCCTAGGGTTTCTTCTCAGTTATAAAAATTACTGTAGTTTACTCCATTTAGTGATTTTTTTTTGGGGGGGGACAGCCTTGCTCTGTCACCAAGCTGGAATGCAGTGGTGTGATTTCGGCTCACTGCAGCCTCCACTTCCCGGGTTCAAGCTATTCTCTGCCTCAGCCTCCCAAGTAGCTGGGGCTACAGGTGCACACCACCACACCCAGCCAGTTTTTGTATTTTTTAGTAGAGACGGGGTTTCACTATGTTCGCCAGGATGGTCTCGATCTCTTGACCTCGTGATCCACCCGCCTCAGCCTCCCAAAGTGTTGGAATTTCAGGCATGAGCCACCGTGCCCGTCCCTCCATTTAGTGATCTTGTACAGAGCCATTTTCATTGTATTTATATTATTGAAAAAACAGCTTTTATTCTATAACCTTGTAACCTTGCTCACTAATTGGTGGCCCACTGACTGAAACAAGTCCACTGATATGTTTTGTTTGGTCATTAATGTGTTCAAACATTCTTTAAAATTTAAACTCCTATAGGTGAGCCAAATATTCAGTTTGACTCAGTACACTTCCTTCTGTTATTTTTGTACACGGTCTGATTCACAGGCCTAAATGATCTCTCTGGCCCTTTGTATCAGTCACGAAGGTCTAAGTTATGCTGCTGAAACAACCCCGAAATCTCAGTGGCTTAAAACAAGGAAGTCTTCATGTCTAAAACACCAAAAGCAACGGCAGCAAAAGCCAAAATTGACAAGTTGGATCGAATTAAACTAAAGAGCTTCTGCACAGCAAAAGAAACTACCATCAGAGTGAACAGGCAACCTACAGAATGGGAGAAAATTTTTGCAATCTACTCATCTGACAAAGGGCTAATATCCAGAACCTACAAAGAACTCAAACAAATTTACAAGAAAAAAACAAACAGCCCCATCAAAAAGTGGGCAAAGGATATGAACAGACATTTCTCAAAAGAAGAAATTCATACAGCCAACAGACACATGAAAAAATGCTCATCATCACTGGCCATCAGAGAAATGCAAATCAAAATCACAATGAGATACCATCTCACACCAGTTAGAATGGCGATCATTAAAAAGTCAGGAAACAACAGGTGCTGGAGAGGATGTGGAGAAATAGGAACAATTTTACACTGTTGGTGGGATTGTAAACTAGTTCAACCATTATGGAAAGCAGTATGGCGATTCCTCAAGGATCTAGAACTAGATGTACCATATGACCCAGCCATCCCATTACTGGGTATATACCCAAAGGATTATAAATCATGCTGCTATAAAGACACATGCACACGTATGTTTATTGCGGCACTATTCACAATAGCAAAGACTTGGAATCAACCCAAATATCCATCAATGACAGACTGGATTAAGAAAATGTGGCACATATACACCATGGAATACTATGCAGCCATCAAAAAGGATGAGTTTGTGTCCTTTGTAGGGACATGGATACAGCTGGAAACCATCATTCTTAGCAAACTATCACAAGAACGGAAACCCAAACACCGCATGTTCTCACTCATAGGTGGGAACTGAACAATGAGATCACTTGGACTCAGGAAGGGGAACATCACACACCGGGGCCTATCATGGGGAGGGGGGAGGGGGGAGGGGGGAGGGATTGCATTGGGAGTTATACCTGATGTAAATGACGAGTTGATGGGTGCTGACGAGTTGATGGGTGCAGCACAGCAACATGGCACAAGTATACATATGTAACAAACCTGCACGTTATGCACATGTACCCTAGAACTTAAAGTATAATAATAATAAAAAAAAAATCCCATGTAACTCAGTCCAATGTAAGTTGGCAAAACATTCCAACCATGCAGAACTTAGATAAGTTTCAGGCCAATTGTTGATGGCTAAATTCATTTTTTCTTTACAGAAAAGAGAAAAAGAGACTTGTGTATTAATAATGCAGAGTCTTTTATTGAAATGTGCTGTAAATAAATGCTCAAGGAATACTTATAAAAAAAAAAAAAACAAGGAAGTCTTCTATTTTCTGCTCACATTATGTTGCCATCAGAAGTCAACTAAGGGCTCAACTCTCAGGTCCTTGTTATCCTCACTTCAGGACATAGGCTGTCAGCGAAGCCACTATCAGAAACATTATTGGTGACTGGCAGCTGGAAAAGAGAGCAGATGATTCCCACGATGGCTTTCTAAGATTTCCTTGACCAAGGAAAGTCACATATCTGGTAGAGAAATATAATTCTCCTGCACGAAGAAAGTTGTGGAAAGTTACACAGTCTAACACTTGGAGGAATTTGGATTGAATATTGAATGCAGTTCATGCCTTTTAATAACTTGGCAATATCAAGACCTTTTCTACATGAAAATTAAGAAATGTGTGTCAGTTTTTCAGGCATTTTTATCCCTCAACACACGTGAAAGTTCATGCACTCAGAGCTTTGATTCTCAGTTGAGGCCACACACCCCTGGATGAAGCAAGTGATGGGTCATAATCTTTATTTTGTTTTGGGGATAGAGATTGAAGGCAGAAAACATAGGCTTGAGGTTTTTTTTAAATTTATTTTTATTTTTAAATTATTTTAGAAACGGAGTCTTACTATGTTGGCCAGACTGGAGTGCAGTGTCTATCCACAGGTGCTGTCATATCTCATTGTGGCCTTGAACTTCTGGGCTCAAGTGATCCCCCCACTTCAGCCTCTGGTGTAGCTCAGACTACAGAAACGAACCACCATGCCTGGCTTGAGATTTTATTCTATTTTTAAATAAAGGCCCCACAGGTGATTCTGGCATACTGCTCCAAGATGTTGTGTCCTCATTCTCACAAGGATTACTGATTTAGAGGCTCACAGCTTTCTGAGAATGCACAGATTCAGATACATAACTAAAGATCAGAATGAAAACATTACAACCCAGACATCAATGATCAGTAAAGGATTCAGCTATGCTGTTTGTGAAAAAGTTAAGTACTAGCACGTTTTCAAGTTAAGATGAATAAGTAATTGGGAAAAGAGAGGAGAATGGAAATTTCCATTAATTTCCATAAAATAAGTGGCATTCATTTTAGAATTTAGCACTACAGAAGTAATGTAGATATTATTACCATCTTCTGCCCGACAGATCGTGTTTATTGCAAGTTAGAGCTATATCCCTCCATCTCCTGACCTTCCTAAGGGTTAGGTAAACACTCTTATCAAAAGAGGGAGAAGGGACACAGGTCAGAGGGCGGCATTGTGGTGTCTTGGCTTCTCCAGCCTCACAGACCTAGTCTGAGTCTCATGGAGAGAAAGGACTCAGGAAGCAGCAGAAGCAGCTGGATTTTAAATTGAGCCTGGTGAGACAGTTGGGCACAGGCTGCTATGCTTGTGTAACCTGGAGGCAAAGTAGGAAACAGACTGGCAGAGGATTCATCCTTCTAGGTCTGCATAGACCAGAGCATGGTGTGGACACAGTGAAGACTGCAAAGACTTTACCTTGCTGGATTGTGGTGAACTACCCAATTCAACAGAGTAATTTAAACTAATGATTCTCAACCAGGGACAAGTTTCCCACATGGGACATTTGGCAATGTCTAGAGACACTTATGGTTATCACAACTAAGAGTGTAGGTGCTACTGGCATCTGGTGGATAGAGATCAGAGATGCTGCTAAACATCCTACAATGCACAGAACAGCCTCCACAACAAAGAATCAAGCCCAAATGTTAAGAATACTGATACGAGAAACGCATATTTAAAGGAAAGCACTTAGTATAGTGCCTGGCATTTGTTAAATGCTTAATAAATGTTGATTCACCATGAGTTGATCTCCTGGTGTCCATAAGGTTTTAAATAATTGTCAGTACCCTAAAATGAATCATATATAGTATACCGAGATTTCTTCATTACAAGATGTACTTTTTAAAAATCACTTTTTAAATTTCTTGAATTGGTGTGAGATGTAGTAATTGATATATTTTCCCCTAAGAAGCTGTTATCAAATCATGGTGCATATCAGTTGATGGCATCTTAAAGCCCTGAAAAAGGGCCAGGAGCTGTGGCTCATATCTGGAATCCCAGCACTTTGGGAAGCTGAGGCAGGCCTCACTTGAGGCCAGGAATTCAAGACCAGGCTGGCCAACATGGCAAAACCCCATCTCTACTAAAAATACAAAAAATTAATCAGGCGTGGTGGCGTGCACCTGTAGTCCCAGCTACTCAGGAGGCTGAGGCATGCGAATCAATTGAACCCAGGAGGTGGAGGTTGCAGTGAGCTGAGATGGTGAGATGGTGCTGCACTCCAGCTTAGGTGACAGAGTGAGATTCTGTCTTAAAAAAAAAAAAAAAAAAAAAAAAAAAAAAAAAAAAAAAAAAGCTAAGCTTCTAGGTTTCTATTACCTGTATTAGAACAGGTGTTTTTGAAATACTACCTGGGAATGTGATACAGTAACCTATTCGTGTATAAGCTGACTTATATTCAGAACAAAAGAAAATAAAAAACATTAACTTTGGTAGAAATCCTAGACAGCAAGCATTTCTCCTTTCTTTTAGAGATGACAACCAAAGGTCCATGAAGGCTTATTTACTGGCTCAACTCTATGCAACTAGTCAGCAACAAAGCCACACCTACAAGTCAAGGGTCCAGAATTCCAGCTCAGGTCTGCTCCTCAGATAACTGCAAATGTGTACTCTTTATTCAAGTTGTGCTCAGCAAGAGGTTGTTACTCTTTATTCATCTATGTGACTAGTGATATTTTCTATGGAATATGATTTTGGTCCTCAGGCTATGTTTATATAATCATTCCATCAATGTTATTGAACATCTTACTATGGGCCAGGTAGTATGTTAGGTGTTGTACTTATAAAGATAAATAAAAATGGCTACAAGGGTGAAAAGCTCACTTACCTTCTAGGCCCAAGTGGATAACAAAACTGATTGAGTTGGGGTTGCCAGATATAATATAGGGTGCCCTAACTGAATTGCATGAATTGCATCGGACCTACTTATACTAAAAAATAAAAATAAAATCGTTGTTTATCTGATCTTCACATTTAAACAGGCTTCTTGCATTCATATTTGCTAAATGCGGCAACCCTAACTAGCTGGGAACTGGGGAGAGCTGGAAAGTACATGCTTTATCTAAAGGGAGCAGCTGCTACCTCCCCTCCCGACCCCCTCTCAGGAATCATTGCCACAAGGCATGCAACCCCAGTGAACTCATTGAAATTATCATGATGTACTGGAAATCCAGGACTCTAGTTAAAATCTCCCTAATTTTAAAAGTTGTAAACTGATTTGAAAAAATTTTAAAGACTATGTGGGCCAAAGGAAAAAAAAGAAAATAATGTCTGTGGATTTTGATGGTGTTTAAGCCACTTCCAAAATAAGACTTCTCTTTCTTACCTGAATGTGGAACCAGTTGAGCCATACAGGTTTCAGACAGATTAAGGTCAAAATGTCAACTTCAGTACTGATGATGTAACCATAAAGGATTTGGCTTAAGTGTACAACCAAATAGCCTTGCTAGAAAGCTCCCGAATTGAACTAACCGTCCTCCCCACAAATCCAGCCCTTCACCACAGCAAGGTAGAGCTAACCCTCCAGTCAAGAGAGCAAACTAGAATATTCCCCTCCTTGCAGATAACACAAGTATGAAGAGAAAGGAGAGCAGCAAAGGCTGTGCCTGGTCCCTTCCAGACTTTCCAGATAACTCTGCCCCACAGGAGGACAGGGAAAGCCAAAAGAGAGAAGCCAGGATTGTTAGTCCTGGAAAATGCCTCCATATAGAAACATGAGCCAGAGAATAAATCACTCACCTCTCCAACCAGTTGGATTTGGTCCATGAGTTCCTAGTTTTGTTCACCTGACTCAGTCCCTGACTTTTAAAGTCAAGTGCATCAATATGCTGCCAGTACTCTGATGAACATCTATACAGCAGTGAATTCCACCTGGGGTAAAGTATTCATGTAGGTTAGGATGCTACAGAGGGACTCTGTCTGTTTTCTTTTTTTTTTTTTTTTTTTTTTTGCTAAGGCCTCCACATATTAGGTGGTCTGTACTCTTTCTTCTATGGGAAGGGCTAGGATACCTAAACGGGAGTTTCAAGGAGGGGGCAACAAACCAGTTTTGTGGCTCTCAGCAAACATCCATCTCAAAGGTGAGTTTGGAAATAATGGAGACTATGTCAGTGTGTTTGTGTCTCAGGCCTACTTCCCACGCCTATGGGGGAAGGGTGGGACTTATCTCTCTCTTCCCTCAAGCCTGCTAAGAGGAGATTAGACTATATTCGAGATAAGTACCTCAAGCACAGTGACAGCCATGCAGCTCATGCCTGTGAAATCAAAAGGCAAGAGGCTGCAGCTGGCTGGCTGCTCTGAGGGCAGAGAGAAAAGACCAGACTGCTCTTGGAACAGACTGTTCTCCCACTGATGATGGGGACAAAGATGCATGAGTGTATCTCCAGGACTGGATGTGAGCTGCATGGCAGAAAAAGAGCGCAGGTCTGCAGCCTGGGAAAACCCAAAAGGATGCCACAAACCCAATCGGAAGATGGGTCGTCGGGGCCCCAGGAGCTGAGAAAGGAATAAAAATGACAGAGAGAGAACACAGCTGCCCAATGAGGTCCTCAGAGAACCCACAGAAGTGCCCATGAGAACAGTTGTCTCTGGGACTCAAACCCATGGAGAGGTGCTTTTAAACATGCAAAGAGAAGGAACCATCATCATATTACATTGTAGTGTCTGCATAAATAAGACCCTAACTCACCTCATATCTCTCCTCCTTCCTCTGCTTTAATCCAGGAGGAGCCAGAGACCTCTTAGGAAGTGGAGAAGAAGGGAAAGTAAGGAAAAAGCCACTATTCCCCATGTTAGATGAGGAAATAGGAACATTCTCCTCCTCTACCCAACACCCACTGTAGCTTTTAGTGGCTAGAGTCAGGAAACAAGAGAAGCTTTCGTGTTTAATGAATTTCAGAGGTTTGACTAGGACATAGAAATGGATATTTTAATTACTGAAAACTATTTTGTAATTAGAGGTGACTGGAAGACATTTTATTCTCAGCAGAAGAATAGATAAGGATAGGACCTTCCCTCCCCTTTGGGCCCCACCAAGGTTTTATCCAGAGGAAGAGGAAGAAGTAACCCTTTATATGAGTTTGAATAGGCAGAAGAAGAAAAGGATGAAGTTGTCTTCTAATTGCACTCTATGAACGTTACTTTTTTGTTAACATAAATGTTGCATATATTTTTAGCTGGTGTAACAAAAAAACCATCTCAAGCTGGCTTGCATAACAGCTTTGGACACATCTGATCAAGGCCCTGGTTCTGTTTGCTAGTGATCCTCCTGACTCTGCCCTCTCTCCATGCTAGTTTCTTCCTCAGATTGACATTCCTTTTGGTCACCAGATGCCTACAATCAGCAGGTGCAACTCTCTGCTCCCTGTTCACTTCTGAAGTGGGGAGCATGGATACCAACCACAGAACAAAGCCCTACAGTCTCCCACTGAGTAGAACACCCGTGAAGAAGTGTTGGCCATTTCCCTGTGGCCAGGGAAATATCATGTACTGGTTGGATTAGGCCTGTATTAATCCAGTCAATGGAACATAGTTAAACTATCCCAAACCCTCCATAGACACTAGAGAAAAGGTGAATCCAACCAAATGTAAGACTGCTACTCAATAGGACAGAAATGGCATGGATGTCAGTGAGATGGGGAAAAAATGTGTGCTAAAGGAGATCAGGAAGGACCGAATAGAAGACAGGGCCTTTGAATTGAAGCCTTTAATGAGGAAAGGGGATTGAGATTTTATGAGGGCCAGGGTGGAGAGCGGGTTGTGAAGAGGATCGGGAAAATGTAAGGACACCGCGGATATAAGAATTAGTGGGAGAATCATGGGCCACAAAGCAGCAGGATTATATTACAGAGACTGTAAGTAGTGTTTATTGGAGCACAGGGTACTGGGGAGGTGGAGGAAAGATGAGACTGTTAAGGAATTTAGACACAGCATGTAGTAGCTGGCAGGAAACAGATGACATTCTCAAACAAGGCAGTTGAGGAGAGCTAATAAAGGCACCACTTACCAAGGTGTAGTTAGGATTAAGAGAAAGCAAACTGGGATGGTGCTGTGCTATGGGCTAGCAACAGCAGGAAGTCATTTCTGTCCCTAGGTCTGAAGAGGGAACCACGGGAGCCAACACCAAGGAACCAGAGATCTTAGAGTCTCCAAGTCTGCAGGAGCCGTGGCCTTTGGTAGAGGGATCGTGCCTACTCTTAGCAGCCTGGCTGGGAGGGGCCTGGGGAAATAATACCCCAACTTCTCTCTTCTTCAATATCGATGAGTTCCACTGGTTAAAATCAAACTGGAAGTTGGAGAGAAAGAGAGTCTATCTATACAAGTCAGCACCCTGGAGCCCAGAAGAGACTAAAAAGGGGATAAAAAGCGGATTCGGAGGGACAAACAGAAAACACCCAACACAGAAGGAGGAACAAACATTTGGAGGAACAAACAGAAAATATCAGAAAACATTTTAATCCTGGGTCCTGGGGCGTCATGGAAGGTTTTGAAGTTAGGAGCACTGCCATCCTCTAGGGGGAGCTCAAGGATTTCTCACCACTCACCCCCAAGGAGATGCATCAGAAGATCAGGGCGAAACAGACTTCAAGGAAAGAGCCCTCGGCTAGAAGAAGCAGCCTGGAGGAGTAAAGGGATTGCTCCTGGAATTGGAAATCTACCCTTTGCACTTCGATTTACTGCACTTGGATTGATTTGCAAGAATAACCATTAAAATAATCAAAGCTAAAAGTAAGTATGTACTGTGTGCCAAGTTCTTGACTCATTTAGCACAACTCTTTGGAGGTAAGCACCATTGAAATTCTCACCTTCTAGATTAAGAGGCTGATAGAACCTGGATTTGAGCCCATTTTCAATGGACCACTCTCTGCTCTGTTTTATTCTCATGCTGCTGGTGTAGTCAACTGAGTCAAAGGTTGCCTTTGCTTAGAAGGTCTAACAAAACCAGAGCAGGGTCCATGGAAAAGGAAACATGAAAAGGGAGATATTTCCTGGTAAGATTTGTGTTCATTTAACAATTTTAAGCACATATTTAATAACCTGGCACTCACTACCTGGCAAGCACTGAGCCAGGTGCAGGATATCCGAGGGAACTAGGAGAGAGGCACTAAGTGCCGTACTAAGAGCCTGAATGAGTGCATTTGCGTCCTGGGTCTGCTACATGTGTGACCCAGGAAAAGTCACTTAAATCATTTAACTGTCTGTTTCCTCATCTTTAACATATAAATCATTTAAAAATACACAGCACTTGGAATAATAAACGGGCAGATTGTTAATGTTAAAGGTGTGAGCTGCTGTTCTTACAACACAATGTCAGCCCCTGAAGCTCTTACAGTAGATGGAAAGATGGAGATGAGTAGGATCTAATTATTGGCCAAGTGCAAAGGAGCTAAAAATGCCACCCACCCTGCTACTTACTTCAGCAAGACCCAAGAAAACAAGGGCAAAAGGAGCTCTAGAGGCTCTTCTTGGTCTAGCCCTGCTTTTGAGTTTGGGGCCAAAGTTCTGATTCTGGAGTGTTAGCAAGTTTCTTGTCTGTCATTCCAGCTCTGATCAGTTAATACCGGTTGCCTGAACCATGTATTAAGAGAGATCTCAGACTGCATGTAGAGAAAGGATGCCTTGAGAGATAAGTGATGTCTGCCATTGATTGAGGGTGGAGAGGAGGAGCCAAGTGGTTCTAGAACAGTGTCCTTTTGCCTAGAAAGTCCCTACAGCAGGAGCAGCCGGGCAAGACTCAGAAGTCCTGATTATAATCACAGATTAAGGTGACCAACTATCCCAGTTTGCCTAGGACTGTTGCAGTTTTAGAACAGAAATTCCTGCAACCCAGAAAACCTCTCAATCTTGGGCACATCCCAATCATCTTTGCAGGCTTTCTCTATCTGACAATACAAAAAAAAAGAAAGAAAGAAAAAGAGAGAAAGAAAAGGAAAGAAAAAAAACACTATGAGCTCTGACTAGAAAAGATTACTCTTTTTGTCTTGGCCAATTTCAGCCTGTGAAAATGCATCTTATTCTGGCCTGTATGTGCCAGCCATATACCCTCAAATATTCCCCCACTTCACAATAGCTGACCTCCATACCTCTCTCCTTTCTCAGCTATTTTTCCTGCTGTATCCACTGAAGACTTAGTAGGAAACAGATGGCACCATCAAAGGGTTTAGCTGAGAGAATTTCATGCAGGGATTATTTACAGAGGCGTGGGCAGGGTTAATGGAACCAACAAGAGCTGGGGAGACAGTCAAGGATTAGCTCTTACCACAGGACGTCTGCAGGGACAAAGGGAGGGGATGCTGTTACCAGCCTGGTAAGAGCTGAAACTGCAGGAGAGGTCACTGGGCCTGGGAGCTGGAGCTTCTGTCTCAACTGTGGTGAGGCAGGGAGGAAAGAGGAGGGCATAAAAATCCCTGGCCTGGCTCTCCTCCTGCCCTCTGGCCTCTTGCCAGTGGTTTCTTGCCAGAGGGCAAGGAAAAGCAAATGAAACAACAGGTCTAGTAGAGGTCAGCCTCCCAGGCCACAGAGCATGACAGGAAAGGGCAGAGAAGAGATCTAAGAATAACCATCCCAGGCCACCCTATTGTCACTCAGTTTCCATTCTAGCCCTTTACTTAGCCAAAGAAACTCAGGTCCTCAACACAGAGAAAACATAGTCTCATCAGCTACTGTATCGCTGAGTAATGATGTATTTCAGTCATATTACTGCCTGGAACCTAAACTGTAACTTTAGTCACCACCAAGATGCAAGGCAGCAAGGAAAGGTAAAAAATAAATAAATAAAACTATCATACTACAGCTCCACATCTAAGCAGTTCGAATCCAATAATCCTGACTTCCTCCTCCCAGCACTCATTCCATAATTCTTTACCCTCACCTAGCATCTTGACAGTTAAGGTGTCTTACCTGATGGGGTGAGCCAAACCTTCCTTGCCACAGGATCCAGGTGGTTCCATCTTTGTTGAGTTACTGCCGTTTCTCATTGACCGTTACTACTGGACATGGGAGTGCAATGAATCCCATGGGCTCCAGATACAGTGTTGTTCCCATGTGATAGCAAAAATCCCAATTTATCCTTGATAATCAAAATTAATCATAC